CCCCAACCTTTATATTCCAATTGCCAGTAATTATCAATACATCTTGATTGCATGTTTGAACAATTTCAGACTGAAGAAGTTGGTAGAAATCTTCAATTTCATTATCACTGGATTTAGTGGATTCTGCATAAATTTTAATGATAGAAGTAATGACTGATTTTTCTTGTAGGTGTATGGATATTATCCTATCACAGAATGCATTATACTTGAAATTAGATTTTGAAATGCTCTTTTTGATAATGAATTTGATGTAATTCCTCTTCAATTTGTCACTCTCAGCATAACAAAACATATGATTGTCAGATTTAACATGGCCAATATGGGTACTTTTCAGCTCATTAATGCTTAGGAAATTGATGTTTATTCCTCCTATTTTATTTTTGGTGCTTGTCTTTCAGTTTGCTATACTGTGGTAGCTTGTTCATTGTTATGATACTGAATCTATTCCACCAGGATTTTGCACACTGGCATTATCACTCATGGTGGATAACTGTCAGCTGAATTTCAAGATTAGGACACACTAAGAAGAAAGATACTCAGACTACTTCCAAATGCCTAGACACTGAAACCCATATGAATAGCAGTGGAAACACTGTTAGATAATAATCCAATATTGACTTTGTGAATAGTACCAGATTATTGAGATATAGTGTCAGAATATGAGATGCTAAGGTTTGAAGGCATTTAAAATATGACAAATATTCAAAATAACCTCCTCAAAGAGGAGTTTACCAACCATGGTGACTTAAATGGACTAAATTTTTCAGGACTTTCATTTTCTTATTGAGCAACAGCTCAAGATTAGAATAAACAGCTGTAAACATCCAATAATAATTGTAACAGCTCAAGATTAGAATAAACAGCTGTAAACATCCAATAATAATTGCAACAGCTCAAGATTAGAATAAACAGCTGTAAACATCCAATAATAATTGCAACAGCTCAAGATTAGAATAAACAGCTGCAAACATCCAATAATAATTGGAACAAAGTGTACATGAAGCTTGGAAAATTGGAAGTTGTCAAAACTGAATGGAATTCAACAAAAACTGAAACTATTCTGAGAATTTTCCTAGCTACTTTTATAACCTGTGTATGAGGAAATAGGTGAAAACTCTACACTATAGCTGTTATTTCTCTACTTTCCTCTTAGCTTCTTACACTCTCATTTAGTGTGTTTCTCTCCAGATTGGTAGCTTTGAATAAGAATATTCACAGATTTGTCAAATTGACTTGTTTTCTAATAACCACTTATGAGGGTGGTACTTAACACTCTGAGGATCATCTCACATTATTGGTCACATATCATATGGGAGGATATGACCCAAACCCTTCTAGGGAAAAAGAATCAAATTCATATCTCTTTTGCTATTTATTGTGTTCTTTCTTAAAATATATTGTAAAATGATACCCATTTATTTTTATTTTCTTTACTTGATGGTCAATTGTTGGTTTAAAAACACTGGCAATTGATTTTAACCTGTATATCATTGTCTTTCATGCAATAATTTTTCTCCCATATCTTAGGAGAGTGAAATTTTATTAGAAAATGTGTAATAGCTATACCTTTTTTCTTTAAATTTACTGTAATGCAAATAAATTATATTCATAATCATACATGTATTTGAGATTGTATGCATCCCCAATGACTTAGGATGCATCTTTAATACTCCTTTTTTGTTGATTAGTAACAAAAAAAAATAGCAATTTCACTGCTGTAAAACATATTACAGATCTAACTGATCTCAAGAGAATAGTCAAAGAATGAATCAGGAGTTAGGAAGAGCTGGTCTCTGTGGAAGCACAAATCACCAGTTCCCCAGAGCTAATCAGTGCTATGTCCTATATAAGTCCCTCATAAAAGAAAGGGGTTAAAATGTTTATAAAGAATACAGAAGTAAAAATGTTGATGGCTAAAAAGTAAAATGTCAATTTTCCTGAAAAGTGACTGCAATTATACTTAGTGAAAAGGCAGGCTCATGGAGTTTTCAAATCTCTTTAAGTTGTGTAAAATAAATGTTAATGTTAAGGGAAAAAAGCCTGCTATCTCATTTCTCAGGTATTTGTGTATGTTTTCATTCATTTGCTTTTTAAAATTTAATAATGAAAAACTCACTGAAAATGCAGAAAAATATCAGTAAAGAACATTGTGGTACTGTACTATAAACACAAGACACAAGATCAGTTTGGACCTCCAGGTCAGAGGTTCAAACTCTTCAGCAGCTCCTCAGAAACCATATTCAAGATTGCTGTAAGTAAGGTCCTACTCAACTGCTCTTAACAACATCTTATGCCTGCCGATCTGATAAATTTATATTAATAAAATAGGTTGACATCTTTTTCATTCTAGCATTTGTTTTAATTGATTAAGTTTTAAATTGTGTCTGAAGATCTGTAGATAAACATAGTCTGGGCTCAAACGACTCAAAATACAATGGCACAAAAATTACCTAGGAATTTACCAAATACAGGTGTCATGCATGAACTGTTTCTTTTACTAAACTTTAACTAGGAAATTTCCAGGCTAAAGAGAGATATACTGACATTTTATAGAAATTGATGAATTTATGTAAAAACAGTCCTTAAAATATTAAAAGAATGTTTAATGATCTAATATAGATTTTTGCTATACACATTTTCTGACATTTTTGCCTGCATAACAGAAACTAACCATGCTTTATTTTGATCATGTTGTTTTATATTTAATAATTGATGAATGATTAGAAATTTCACTTTTTCTATTGTCTACATCTTATAATTCATAAATAATTAATATCGTAATAACACTGAGATGTAGCAACAAGGAAAAAGTCTTGAACTCTCTTTATATATAGGAATTTTCAGTTAAGCATCATGATACATTCAGACACATAATATGTAATGAAATTTCAGAGTTGGGAAACTTAAGAATTTGCACAGATGAGGAGAAAAATGCAATTAGAAGTGGTACATGATGGAAAACAAGACATCTAGATATCTAAAACTAATGTAATGTTTCAATAAAGCAAAATTTAAAAGTCTTAAGTCTGCTTTAGAATAGTAACTTAGTCTAAGGATCAAATGTAATAACTTACATGTTTAAGTGTTGCTTTTTAAAGTTATAAAACTATCTATTTAAAGGGTTTTCATATCAGAAAATTAAAATATTAAAAGAAACCTGGCAAAATCTAAAGGATTGTTATAGAAAGTTGGTTAAAATTAAATATTTTGCAATTAAGACCCTGATATGGCAGTAGAGGATACACACTGACTGCTAACTGTAAGTTATCTTTATGGGACTGACTAAATAGTGCTAACAACAACAAAATAATTTTATAAAAACACTAAAATGCCATATAAATTAAACTATTATAAGCAAATCAACATTAATATTGCTGCTGTTATAAAGCATATAGTATGGTGGTAAAATTTAAATTATTTTAATAATAAATGGATTATATTTAAATAAAACATAAATTTTAACATTTTTAATTTATGATCTCCTTAATTCCAGGTATTCCATATATGACAACTAAACTGCACTAAAATTAGAAATTCCAAAAATCACTAATTTTAGCATTGGAAGGGTAATTTACATTTCATAACTTGAAATACTTAAAGAGATGGCCAAATATATAGGTTGAAGTTTGATTAATTATAATTATTTCAGTCAACATTAGAAAGCTTATAAGGGTGGAATCTGGACAGAATATTAGTTCTACATTAAATATTGAAATGTTTGCCTGAAAGAAGGAAGGTTGCTTTGCGAAGGAGTATAATCAGGTACGATATATATTATATATATATTTCCTTATGTATTATTAGCATTTGAGGAGGAAAAGTGTACCTGTAGTAAGGGAACTCAGGGTGCACACTACCCATAAAAAAAATTATACTGATAAGATTCTGAGACAATTCAAACATTTTATAGATGATGCCTCAAGGGAAATAAGAAAATAACAATATATATGTATCATACAGTAACTGAAATGAAAGAGGGCAGAACTATCACCTAATTGATTTCATATAATATAAAACCATTTTTAGAGAAAATTCAGAGCCATTAATTAACTATGTTATAAAAATACTCTCTAGGTCAACTGTCCCCAGAAGTAGGACATCCTAATTCCTTGGCACATAAGGAAAATCAGTAATAGCTGTGGAGTGTTCAAACAGAGAAGCCTAACACTTATAGGAATTATAACTCTTTTACAGAATTATGTTATAGTCATTTGATATTGAAGGAATGAAGTAAATAATGACAGATTATATCTAGACAGAGTTTAAAAGGTTATTTCACAGAAACAGTATAAATACGACACAATACTCATAACATTGTTGATTCTTCATAATTTTTTATAATTATAATGGCTTAAATTATCTGATCTTATTTATGTTTAATTTATATCTCAGTACATCTAAAGGAAAATATAAAGAAATGTATATATGCACAGTATTCATCTATGCTGACATCTTAAAGATTACAATGACTGAAATTTATTTGTAGGTATTGTGAATTTCAGAATTTTAGTTTTAATCTAATTCTACCACTTTATTCTTTAATTCTAGGTAGATTGCAGCATAGTAGCTAGAATGGGCAATATCACTATCATCACAGAATTCCTCCTCATGGATATATCAAGCTCTCAGGCGCTCCAAGTCTTACAAGGTCTGCTGTTCTTAATGATTTATCTGGGAACACTTGCTGGAAATCTTCTGACAATTATAGTCATTGTGACAGACCCACGTCTTCACTTTCCTATGTACTTTTTTATAGGCAATTTATCCTTCATAGATCTTTGCTCTATTTCAGTTAGTGTTCCCAAATCAACTGTGAATTCCTTGACAGGTAGAAAATCAATCTCACTCAAAGAATGTGCTGCTCAGATTTTCTTGTATATATTCTTTGCATCTACAGAACTTGCTTTTCTTGTGTTGATGTCTTATGACCGCTTTATTGCCATCTGTCATCCCCTGTACTATGGGCTCACTGTCACCCCACATGTGTGTGCACAGGCAGCAGGGGGCTCATGGGTCAGTGGACTTCTATTTTCTGCCATCCATACAGTCACCATGTTCAGGCTTCCGTTTACAAAGTCCAATGTGATCCATCAATATTTCTGTGAAGTACCTCAAATTTTGAGAATATCATCTTCAGATGTTCAGTTATCTGAATCTATACTCCTAGCTATAAGTCCTGGCATTGTTTTAGTCTGTTTTGCTTTCATGTTTATGTCATATATTAAAATATTTTCAAGTGTACTTCAGATGCGCTCTGCAGAAGCCCGCAACAAAGCCGTATCTACTTGTACCCCACAGTTGGCTATTATTCTTTTGTTTGTAATTTCTAGATTAATTGCTGCCCTAGGACCTATTGCAAATAAAGCATCTCTTAAAAATTTTCTGACAGCCATGTTCTACAACATGTTGCCCCCACTTATAAATCCCCTAATCTATAGTTTGCGGAACAGGGAAATTAAAAGTGCTATTGGCAGAATGTACAAAAGATGTTTTGAGTTTCCAAGCAAGGTTTTATTTGATTAAAATGTATAAAAACAAGAAAATTTAAAAGAAGTTTTATTTATATTGTCTATATGTTCTTATTAAGGAGCTCTGGTAGCATAATGGTTACGAATAGGGCTGTGAATTGCATGGTCAGCAGTTCGAAACTACCAGCGGTTCCGAGGGAGAAAGATGAGGCATTCTGCTCCTGTAAAGATTTACAGCCTCAGAAATCCTGTGTAGGGTCGCTATGAGTCGGAATCTACTCCACGGCACTTAACAATGTATGTTCTTATTAAGTCCTGGTGTAATGCTGCAGGATAATGCACTGGGCTGCAATGTCTGTTCGAACTGCAAGTTGTTGTTGTTGTTGTTGTCAGGTGCCATCGAGTCAGAACCGACTCATAGCAAACCCATGCACAGCAGAACAAAACAATGTCCCATCCTGGGCCAACCTCACTACTGCTGCCACACTTGACGCCATCAATGATGCCACCTGGCTGGTCCATCTCGTTAGGGGTCTTCCTCTTTTCCTCTGACCCTCCATCTTACCCAGCATGA